TGCTTCCTCAGGGAGGTTGGAGGTATTCTAGGACATTACATCAAAATAGGTTTAAGTATAATGATCACAGATACCAAATTCTTAATAAGAGTAATAAGAAAATAAAACAACAATACAAAACCCACTTCATGTTCACAAAGATGGCTGGATCTTTGGCCCCACATGCTGTCTCGCAATCACCAAACAGGTGAACAGGTGGGAGGTAACCGGGGATAAACAGGACTATTGCAGAAAATCCCATCGTCTGTGTTGTTCAGGATCAGCAGTCTATGACTCCTGATCTGACTCCGATGGTCAGATAACAAATATTATGTCCATAAAGACAAAATTGGTACCCTCTTAGCCACTAAACTATCCCCTAAACCTAGAGTTTACACGTTCCCTAAAATTCGATGTACCTCTGGTGCATACTCATTACATCTAGCAACTGTTCTTCAGGAATTTCACTCGTTTGTCACTAAACTTTATCAGGATAACACTCCAGTTTCATCTGATTCATTGAGATCATTTCTCAATGAGGTTCACCTTCCATCCCTGACATTGGATCATTCCATGATTATGGAAGCACCCATCTCGGCACTGGAAATTAAACAAGCTATCAAGCAGGCAAAATTGTCATCGGCTCCGGGTCCAGATGTCTTGGAGCCTCACCTGGAGAGATTCTTTAATGAAGTGAGACGGGGGAGTCCCTTACACACAGATTTAAATAGGGCCTATCTTATAGTTCTTCCTAAACCCAACAAGGACTTGGGGGAAATCTCCAACTATAGACCGATCTCCTTGATAAACAATGATTTTAAATCAAATTAGAAGGGCCATTGATATTATCACCTTGTTGCAGTCAGGGTGGGATGGAGGGAAATCACAATCTGGGCTTCTGTTGTCTATAGACTTACAAAAAGCCTTTGATTCAGTGTCTTGGCAATACCTTTTCCAGCTGCTTGAGAAATGGGGCTTCGCCCCCCACTTTCTGAATACGTTGTGGGCCTTATACACTACTCCATCAGCACAAATTAGGCTACAGGGCCACATCTCTGATTCCATAGCTATCTCTAAAGGCACAAGTCAAGGTTGTCCACTTTCCCCACTGCTTTTTGCATTAGCGATAGAACCCCTAGTGATTGCGATCTGTGCTAATGTTAATATTAAGGGAGTGGGTTGTGGTAGGCAGGAGCATAAGTGTGCTTCATTTGCGGATGACTTGCTCCTGTTTGTCACTTCACCCTTGACCACACTTCCTAATGTCCTGTCATTGTTGACTCAAGTTGCTGGGGTATCTGGATTGTGGGTCAATGCATCCAAATCATTGGCTCTTAATATCAATATCCCCCAGTAAGTGCGGTCTCGGTTGTCGGAACATTTTGATTTTACCTGGTCCACGGAGGCTTTGCAATATCTAGGCATTAAACTTACACCTGTCTTTTTACACCAACTCCGGGAGGATATGTCTCGATGGGACTCCTGTAATTTGTCATGGCTGGGTCACATTCATGCACTCAAAATGACGCTGCTCCCCAAGATCCTATATTACTTTCGGGCTCTACCCATAGCTATACATAAGCCAGATCTTTTGAAATTCCAATCTTTAATTATTAAATTTGTTTGGCATGGAAAACATCCTAGACTTTCGAAAAATGTACTGCACCATTCTAAACGGACAGGGGGTTTGGGTGTCCCCAATCTCTTGCAATACTACAAGGCAGCGCGGGTGGCTCAGCTTTCCTCTGTGTATGACCAGGGATATACACCAGATTGGATCCTAATGGAATCTCTCTCTGGCTCGGGTACACCAATTGATGCCTTGAAGTGGATGTCCGTGAGGCAGAGGCCGGTCATTATGGCCCCGACTTTGTCTTGTTCTATGATGGTATGGGACTCATTCCGAAGGGGAGGTGGGTTGGTGTCGCCTCACACTCCTCTGGCTCCCGTCTTCCACAATCCTAATTTCCCCCTGGGGGGATCTCCTGGAGCGTTCCATTGGTGACAAGACAAAGGTCTGTACCGCATAGCACAATTCTTTAAAGGTCGCAAGCCACTTACTTTGACCTACTGTCGGGAGGTTTTGCACATGCCATCTTAGGAATACTTTCACTACAGACAATTGTTACACTATTTAGGTTCTTTGAAAACACCTAACGTGATGTCTCCCTTTAGAACAACCTACGAACATTGGTGTCTTGGAGCCGGGGGCCAGAGGGGGGGAGTTTCGCTGCTCTATTCCCTCCTGGTAGACTCTGAAAGTAAATTACCCTATATGTTAGCTTGGGAACAAGACCTGGAAAGGGTTATTCCTCTGGAGGTCTGGCATCAATGTTGTTCCCGTGTGTCATCAGGTCTACTTAATATTTCACTAATAGAAGCTAATTATAAGGTTCTATCTAGGTGGTATATGGTCCCTGCCAGACTAGCGAGAATATACCCAGAGGTTTCTCCTCATTTAGGGGATGTGCTCACTCGGGCACAATATATCACTAATATTTGGGGTTACTGGGGTGAGAGTCCCACGAGATCCCCAATATGTGTTGCTGAATTGCCCGATTCCAGGACTGTCTAAAGCTTTGGATAAAATAATTACTTTCTTTTTGTTGGCAGCCAAAATAACCATAGCTAGGGCTTGGAAAACGCCAACAATTCCATTCCACTTGGTTAAACAAAAAATGTCGTGGATTATGGTCCATGAGAAACTTCACAGCATCCTCCAAGATACTAAAAAAAGCTTTGAATTGACCTGGACCCCCTGGTTGTTATATACAGGGGTGCTGGAAACCGGGTAATTTTCATTGAACAATTTTTCTGGAATTTTTCTCTGGGGACTATGTTTAATGTTTAAGTAGATGTTGGTCGGGGATGGAGCTACTCTTTTCGGACTCTTAAGCTGTTCTGCGTCCTTTAGCATCTATTTCCTTTTCCTTTTTTTGTCTGTCTTTTTTTTTTTTTTCCATTATGCTCGCACACGTGAGCTGTTTAGTGCATTGATGTTGGACAGAAAGTCTTCTATTTATATACATAAGGAGGAGATCATAACACATGTTTGCTGCAGACATCCCTATGCCAGATATTCCTCTCAGACTGTTTTGAGTTTTGTTTTTGCTGATGGGGGATACATTGGCAAGAATAGGGTGTTAGATATGATCTGTTTTACAGAACTATTATATATTGTGTGTATGGCATCTAGTGATCCCCCCCTACTACTTGACTATGCTAATGTGGAAGAATCTGAAATGCAATTGTATGCTATACTGATTGTGCATCATGTGCTATTTTATTGTTTTATTCTACTTTGGAAAATTAATAAAATACTTTGAAAGTTAAAGTCTGGGAGACTTTCTAGCAAAAAATAGATATTTTAAGGAAGTTAATAGAAATTAGTTATCTGACGACTGGCCAAGCAGAAATAAGACATATATAAATCGCAGCGTCCATGGCAACATAAAAACTGAATGCGTCTTAATTCAGTGGCTATTTTTTGAAACTTAAGACGTTAATTGCAGGACATGATTTATAATATAATATATTATTTATTCAAGAAATTATCAGGGTATCACAACAGCAAAGGCACTCTATGAAAACCGAAAACTATCTTCTTACTGAACATGGGCTTAATATGCCCATAGAGGGGATCCCAACTGTATTTCATTTGGTGGATCACAAACTGGCAAACACCCACTGGCAAAAACCTGTCAGTGCCATAAAAAGTACTAAACAGGCTACAGCAGTACAATGCACATACACAGCAGTCCTTTTTTAGTCGTCCTCTCGGGCTACACATGTTTTTTTTCTTCTGTGAACAAAGTAGGGGGTGGAAAAACTCCTTTTCCCACAATGCTTTGCTTCTCTCAGTGCACAAGCATCATTACTATTCATAGTGGTACCTCCCCATGGGCAGTGCAGAGTGACCGAGAGATTGATGTTACCTGTGACTACAGTTGGAGGATTGTTGTGATTGATAAAGAAATCCGTTATTAATTGTTCTGAGTGATTACTGGAGACAAAATATAAAGGATTTCTTTAACAATCACAACAAACCTCCAACTGTAGTCACATCTCCCGGCCTCTCTGCACTGCCCCCTGGACAATATGTATATAATGTGATTTACACGGCGCTGAGCAAACTGAAGAGAGATGCTGATAGGTTGCCATGCGCAACTGCTCCAGGTTCTGTCTGCTCTCGTTTTGATCAATTTCCCTCCGGTGTCCTATTAATTTATCTGTTCTAACAGTCATCTGTAAATGACAAGAATGGTGGGGGGGGGGGCACATTGAGGAACCTGGACTTGGGGCAGCAGAGAGAGTAAATGTGGCCCTGGAGAGGGAGAGATCTAAGAGAGACACACAGGACACACCGACAGAGAGAAGTCTACAGACACAACAAGTCCAGGAGATCATGAGGAGATCTTCATAACACACAGAACTATGAGGAGATGTGATGATGACTCATAGGGAGGAGTTCTCCTCAGAGCGGAGTGTGTGCTGGTTCATGAGGAGGAGGGAAGGGTCAGCAGAGTAGAGAGGAATCAGCCGATTGCAGTTTGCAGATAAGAAACCCCACCCTCAGTAGAGACGGATTGTGGATCTTGTGGATGGAATTTTAAATTTCTAGGTCTTTTGGCCTGTGAAAGAGTCTATTAAATAAAGTATGAAAAACAGCCCTGTGACTCCTGACAATGCACACACGTATACATCCCCCCGCACCTCTGCATTACCACAAAAATGCAAATCACTTACAAAAGGTGGAAATGTGCTTTAAAGTAATTAGAATTTTCTAACCACATCCCAAGTATATAACTAATTGTGTTGCTATGGTAAAGCTACCTAAGGCAAGTAGGTAACACCGATTTCATACCAATCAAGCCTGTGCATATTCACACCGTATCCAAAAATGCATTTGTATCCATAGTGAGACCACACAGGCCACATGACTATGTATGTACCCATAAAGCACAGACTCCATTTATATTTTTATATTAAAAAATATATTTATTATTCAGTGATGTACTTACAGTTGCTTATAACTCCACCAAGTGGATCTCCCTTAAAATCAAACTCAATATCCATATATTTGCCCTAAAAAATGCAAATTAAAAAGATAGTCAAAAGAATGGATTGTGTGGGTTACTCATGTAGCTATATATTACCATACTGTATGTTTTATTTCAAAAGGTCCATGTTATGGTTAAAAATAGGATTTTTTTGAACTCACGGTAAAATCTTTTTCTCTTCATTGAAGGACTCAACCGAATCTTCATTTTACGAAAGAGTTATATGCCAATTGCAGGAGTAGGACGCTAAGCAGACAAAAAACAACAAAGCACAACCCTGGGGGTGGCACCTGCTGGTGCCTCAACCCCCCACTTGTTAGAGGTAGCACAGTTACTAACAAAGCAGTAGAAACTAAGTGCAAGACAACTCCAGAGGGGAGGGAGCTGTGTCCTTCAATGAACTCAGAGAAAAGGATTTTAAGGTGAGTTCACAAAATCCTATTTCCTCTTGCGTTCATTGAAGGACACAGCCGAATCTTCATTTTACGGAAGGGACCTCCCAAAGCAGTGAGAAATAAGGGGTGGAAACCAAACAGAAAAAGAGGCACCCACCATCTAAACGGTTGCCAGCAAAATCCTTGTGGCCAAAACCTTCATCTGCAGAAGCAACAACATCCCATATAAAAAGAAGAAAGGCATGCACCGTTGAACAGGCAAAACAGAGCCCAAAGAGGAGACACTCCGACGGCTCTAACCACATCCAGGCAAGGAGGGCCAACACACAAGATATGCCGGAGGAAGAAAAAGGAAGGAGGGCAATACCCACAGGGAGGTCGAAAAAAAGACAACACCTAGGAAAAAAAGAGGATCAACATCTGAGAACTACCTTGCCCTTATGCAACTCAAAACAAAGGCAGGCAAAACAAGTCAGGCAATGTTGAAGCCTACCAGACCAAGGCGATGGCCATCCAAAGGCCAACGCTGGAGATGAAACAAAAAAGGATAACTCAGGCTCAAAGGGAGACTGCTGCAAAATGAGAAATAGTCTCAAATGCCCTAGGCATAGAATATGCCACAGAGTTCGACAGCCCCCTATCCCGCGACACCTGGCTAGCAATAGCTACACCGTAAAGACCAGTGACGACAAGAAGGATTACAATTCTGTCCCAACAGAAGATCTGGTCATAGAGGGAGCTGCCAAGGAACATCTGTGACCAAGTGCATCAGGTCCGCATACAGAGAATGACGATATCATCTAGTGTCACCAGAAGAACTGGAATACCTTCAACCTCCACCTGCCACAGCAGCCATGAAGAAGCTTCAGGGGAGGAAACACATAAAGGAGTTTGTACCCGAACCACCGCCACCAAGCATCCACTGCATCCGCACAAGGAACCAGAGCCATGAACACGAACCACTCACCTTTCGATCAAGAAGGGAGTCCAGAAGATACACATCTGGATCCCCTACCTTTGGTAGCTCTGCATAAACACCCCTGGAAGTTGGGAATATTCCCCATGAACCAGACCCTTACTGAGAGACTTCCAGCGCAGTCCACACACCACCCAGATAATAGACTTATGTCTTGGGCAAGGAAATGTGTGACCGAACCCCGACGGAATACCCACACAGAAGATCTATCCAACAAAGAAGACAAAGACTGATCGCTCAAAGTTCCAAAACAGTGATCGGGTACTCGAACTCCTCTCTGGTCCAATGGCAGCCCGGTCACTCCACCCCAGCCCCTGAGGCTGGTGACCGCTATCACATCTTCCAGTGGACCCGCAGAAAAGACTTACCGCTTGGAAACATTGGAGAGCGTAGGCCCCCACACCAGAGAAGCCTCAGTAGAACATGCTACCAGCAACTGCCTGTCCAACGACAATGAAGATATCACAGTGAAAACGGATTGCTGGCTGCAAAATCCAAAAGAGGAGACGAGCATACAGGACCACCACCAACGAGGAAAACATAGACCAGAATCCACATGCAATCACATGTATAGACACCAGATTGCGCAAACAGTCAAACAACGTCTCGAAGGCAAAATCACCATGGCAGACTTGAGACCAGGAGTAGGCCCAGGGACTCCAGAGAACACCAGAAAGATTCCTGGATGACAAGGACCTAGCCAAACCCCTCTAGGTACGCTTTAAAAAGGGTTTAAACTTACCTATGTCTTCCCCGCGCGCTCCCGTCCAAAAATCAGAAAAATCTCAGCAGGCCGCAAAAGATCTTGGGGCGGGCGCATGCACAGTTTAGATTTTCTGCCGGGAGACGAGGAGAGACACAAGGTAAGTCTATGGACGGCGTGAACCCGCATGCAGACACCGTGGGACAGGAAGTGCCAGCAAGGACAGGAGTCAGCGCCGGATCGAAGACCCGCAGCAGCGCTGGAGAGAAGGCTGAAAACTACAGGAAAGAAGAAGATCGGATTAAGAGACGTCATTTAAGGTAAGTGCTTTAATTTACATTGGGGGGAGGGAAAAATTATTTATCCTTTAATGTCACTTTCAGATTCGGCTGTGTCCTTCAATGAACGTAAGAGAAAGGTCTTTTAAAGATCTGTGGTCACTTAAAAAAGACCCTTATTTGACAATTAGATACCCAATTATGCTATAAAAGTTCATGTGCAGACAATTTTTACAAACTTATCATAATCGGGTACTTACAAATCTGGATGAATTGTCGTTCCTCACAGTTTTTGCATTTCCGAAAGCTGGTAATACAAATAAACATAGCATCAAACATTCATCGAAAAGTATGAAATACTTAAAAATGATGCATTAAGTGTATAAAATATGCATAATGTTAACACCAAAATCAAAAGAAATATGGAAAGTTTTGCTTCTGCTACCTTTAGTAATAAAAAGTATAAAAAAAAGGGAGAGAACCTGATTGGTTGCCATGGCCAACTGCTCAAGATTCTGTCTGCTCCAGTTTTGATAAATTCCCCCCAATATTTATAAATATGCATTGTACATATTTACTTTATGTACTTATGTGTGGATCTAATGGCTTTGGCATTTCCTGAAGCTTTCCTTCCCCCCTTCCTACCTCCTGCACATTCCCTTTTGACTAGCAAGGCTACCCATTACAGTCATGGGCCAATAGGACAGGGGTGGCACTAATACCCAAGGATTTGTTTCTCTACACATACAGTCTTGCACATATGTTTGGAGAACAAAAACTTGCCAAATGCATACATTACAGGGCATTTAGCGCTGTACACTTCGTTACACCATTATTCTGTGGGCTTTTAGCCTGAGTTCAGCAGCTTTCTTCCTTCCTTTTTTTGGTTTTAGAAATGTTAGCTCCGGGGTCATATTAATATTAATTTTAAATTTTATCCATCTTAATGTACTTTTACCATTTCCATTAGCGCAAGTTAGTTTGGTTCACTCAATAGCATACATTTCATCCGTTATCTCCCAGGATGCTTTTATGTTAATAAAAACCATTAATGCAAACTCCAGGCAAGCAATAAAACTCTTCACAAACCTCACCATGTATTCTCTAATAGCAAGTCAAAAATAATCTTCTACGTCCTTTCCTGAATTCATAAGTGATACTGTTACAGGGTCTGATAAGCATGAGATTGCGAGTGAAAGGAGTCGGTGCTCTACCTGACTAAAACCCTCAAGAGCATTCATATTTCTAGAGATAGGGTGGCTGGGCGATTAAGCAGTGATGGGGAGCACAGAAATCCCCTGCCATTGCTTCAGAATCAAGCTGCTCTGCACTATTACAGCTCTGGCACTGTTACATCACTGTTCAATGTGATCCTGCATCAATAATAAAGGAGTTATGTGCTCCCTTATCACCACCCAATCAGCCAGAGTTACAGAGCTGTAAGATAAATAAAGTTATTTCGCCACAGGGGCATATTACTGACAATGGAAAACATCCAGCATTGAAGTTACTCAGCGGCCATGGGCTTAATTAAAGTGTTTTAATTGTTCAGTGTCGGGCACAAAAATAGAAAATGAAAATGCCAGGCTAATTTACACTATTGAAGTAATTCCACATCAAAGTTTTCTGGAAATAAAGATCATAAGACACATGGAATAACTCATCTGTTTTTTTCTCCTCATCACTGAGATGTGAAAGAAAAAAATTAGGAACATATGGTAAGAAAAAAAAAAAAAAGAGATGCATATACAGTTCAGAATTTTGATGTCTGGTATGAACTGGAATTCGATTTTGATTGGGAAAAAAAAACTGAAAAAAAGCTAGAACCCCAATCAAAGCAATGTGACTAATTTTTCTAAAATAAAGTTAAATTAAATAAAATAAATTAAAAGTTAAAACACTTAACAGGTTCTCAGATTGGTTACATGATTATAGTTCCAGCATGCGTTCATAAATGCTAGTGCTAGTTTGTGCAGATGGCAAACATGACAAATTAATGCATCTACACAATAATAATAATTTAAAAAAGCTGAAGACTCCTATGACAAAAGCATTGTAGGAAGAGAATTGCATATGGAAGTTAAAAAGCAAAATCAGATTGTCAGTCAAGTCAGGGACAGGACAGCAAAAGTAGCATACACACAAGAAGTCAAACTGAACCACTGGAATAATATAACAGGCACTTCAAGGTGCATTCTTATTCAGTGGTCCCATAGCCCCTAATCCAAGAGAGTTCTGGTATAAAAATGTTAAACTTCCTTAGTCAAAAGCCTGGTCACAATGTCTCTTGTGTAGCACCACTATAAGAGGACAGTATCGCAAAACAACAGTAAGGCAAAAGAGGTGGTAGTGGGCAAAGCCAGGCTCCTGGACCAGTGCACCTGATCGAAATTTTCAAAGCAGAACTCCTTAGGATTTGGGGCTCCCAGGGCACTGAATAAGAAAGCTAACCTTACATAAAGGCACACCTATTATATGCATTAAAGAGGAAGGCATTACATTCCCACAGATGGCATCCATTATGGATGGAGAAAATAGTATATCATGACTTTAACAATAAAAGTATAGTGCACGGTTGTGAAGAATGTTTGAAAAACTTTGTCATACATGAAAAATCTAAACACAATACCTTCCAGGACTGGATTGGACTGTAAAAGTTGTTCCTTCACTTGATTAACTTCAGCTCCTTTACCACAAACTGCAGCAACATATGACATGACCAGCTTGCTTGCTTCTGTAATACATAAGAAACAACAAATGGAACATTACATTAAATGTTCAAAAATTCTCAATATTTAAGTGTTTTCAATATACTTTTAGTCAATATATGGGCACGTAATCCATTCTAGCAGCACTGGTACCTTTCAGTGTGCCTTCAAAAAGACAGCCAATTTGATGGTGGTCACCTTCACATTGTTATTAACAATCATGCAAAATAGCAATTGAAGCCAAGCAAGTCAGTTGACAAATACTATACAAAATGAAATTTGCCAAGACTTTAGGATATTCATTCACCATTTTAGGGTGGCAACTTTGACAATTGGAGACTATGGATCTCCTTTGTCTACCACCTCCCCCCATTACAAAAAACAATTAGGATGAGTGATGTTTGTGGACACAAACCCCATATGATAAAGCACTATAAAACCCTAAGACTTCCATTTGCAGAATGTTCTCTGTACCAAAACAGCCAATGGATCCACCCCCTTTTTTAATTTATTCAAAGCCCATAAAACCAGATTTCTGGAAAAACTTGCATTGAACAGCACATTTACATAATGAACCATAACAATGTGGTAAAATGTCCAAAAGAGCAAACATTGTAAGAAGTTTATTATCTGCAGCTGTAATCCTAGAGACACTATTAAATTAGGACCAGTTACTGAACATTTATATTGACATGTAATATAGTTTCATACAATGTTTACAAGTTTGCCAACAGGAGGTAGGGCATAATTGTGACATGGACAGATGTCAGGGCCCTATGTACAGCCTGAGCCGAGGATGTGAGAGGCTTCACAATGACACTCAGAACAAAAATAGGTACTAGCAGGGAACAAAGACTGAAGTCACTTTTTAGGATGCGTTCACTTTAACAATGTTATTGCCCACAGCAAACTTGATCAATTTTCTTTTGAGAATATATGGATGCTGCTTTTTCTGTGGTTTTCCAAAAAGCCATTCCCTTTCTAACTTGGTAGTAAAATTCTCCACAATCACCTTATTTATTCTGTTTAGCTACATGAACATATTCAAAAGAAACATTATAAGTACATATTTTAAGTTTTGCATAGTATGGAAGGGTTGGAATTCATGTTTGGACACAAATGAAGAAAACCTTGGTTTTCTTCATTTGCGTCTCATTTGGGCAGATTTACCCTTTCTATTTGTCTTGGTGACCGTTATCATTGGGACAGAAAGTGATGGAAAAACCAACATTTTTTGATGGTTATCAGAGGTGAAGTAAAATCTTCCAATGGGGGCAATGGGGATTTAACTTCACTTAAGTGATATTTCTCTCCCTTTCTTTTGGGTCTCCAAAAAGTAAAGGGGAAACGTCCCCAATCGTTCATAGTCACTAAAACAGTCCCGACAGAGAATCTGACCATTTTCTGCTCTATCCAGAGCTAAAAAAAAATATTCTGGCTAGATATACACTTCAAAGAATTGAGTCTTCATCCAAAGTAAGGAAATCCTTGAAATAAAAGGAATTGAAATCAGAACAGATGGTTTATATGTCTCTTCTCTAAACGGAAACCAGCTCCACCTAAACCCCTATCACCACATCTGTAAAAGTATGCAAATAGAATTCCTGCCTTCTTCTTTCACGTTTTGTATTGTACCACCACTCAATACCTTCTTAAGGCTCTGTAGCATTTATGTCTTGTAGAAAGTTTACATTCCATTTTACCTCATACATATCTGCTTAAGCACCAAAAGGGAGAACCAAGTCCTTTGATTTTGGGGGTTTCATCCCCAGACCTGTAGTTAACTCCACCAATGTTTTTTTTCAATCAGCATGTTCTTCTCACCGCTGGAGACCCTCCCCTAGTTCATGTAATGGCCATTTGCACACTGTTTTTCTTTTGCTAGATTCCAGCTTTGCTACAAATAATTAAATAATGTCTGGTGTAACAAATAAATTAGGGATGTCCAGATACCAGTGCCGATACTTGGCATTCTCACGAGAACTACCAGGGTTGCAGTGATTGCAGCTGGGACCGGGCTCTGGTGCTCCACCACTGTCCTGAAATCATTAGTCTGTATTGTTTTAGAAAAACTGTCACATGACAAACAAAAATGTATCAGTACTTGTAAAAATGGTATCGGTGCATCACTTATATATATTTATTTTTAAAAATCATACATTAAAACAGGGATGCACAAATCGCAGGAGCTCCACATGCTTCTTACAAATGACAGCTGCCTCCTAACTTTTTGAATTTTTCTCTAGTCTAGTCTTGGGAGCTGGAAAAGTATCTGTACATGTAATTGTACTTGGTATCTGAACATCCCTAAAATAAATGAAATGCAGAAAATGTAACACCTTTGAACCAAAACACATGGTTATTGCTCATATATTCAATACCCTACAGTATTACCCTCTTCTTTTATTACACAAATCCTTCAGTTTTAACAAATGGAATGAGATTTGAGTGTAATCAGTATGAGAGCTCGTTTGAAGCATCTGCTACACTTATAGGTGGTTCTATAGCCTAACGCCAGGCACAAAATCTTTTATTTTTATATTCTCCTCAGTAGCATCAAATTATATAAATTCACTTTGTGCTCACCAAATGCCTTTGAAAACCCAGGCATTACACTTATAAAAGTAACAGTGACATAAACATTGTGCTGCACATAGACTGTGCAGAGAGCATAACTGTGGGAGGGATCCAGCAGGTCTACCCAATACAGGCTGCCTGCAGAAAATTAAAGAAAGGGGAGGAGACAAGACCAGTCACCCTGCACAAGGAGAGAGAGCAGCAGTGACTGGCCTGTATTACAGGAAGCTCCTGCACAGAGGCAAGATTTCATGCTGGAATAATGCACAGAGCAGGAACAAATACACAAAGCACACCAAGATTCAAGTAAGAATACATATGTGTCTTATTTGTATTTAGACAACATGCAGTATGCTTTCCCCAAAGTTCAGCTTTAATTTCAACATTAGTTCCAACACACGTGTGCAAACCTTACAAAAAAAGTCGATGCAAATTCAATATGACCTGTCTGATGTTGAAAGCTTCAGTTGGATGAAAGCTAAACTAGAATCAAAGCAGTGACTTGCAGCACTGCCTGTTCTGTAGTGGAATACTGCACACAGATGAATAGAAGCTTCAACAGCTCTACAGTGGTCTAAGGTCCTGTGAGCCATCACATTCCATTGCTGTAGCGGAGGAGGACACAGGTTAGGGGGAGCACTGTTACAGCTGACCGGCTCGGAGGATTGGGTGAGTATAACTTTGTTATTTTTGACCCTAGACAAAAAGGAGCACCTAAACCATTGCAGTGCAGGGGTAGCCCCACTGCAAGGGTTAATTACATTTTTACCCGGAGTTCTTCTTTAACCTCTTGCCGTCCGCCCGTAGTAAAAAAACGGACGGACGGCACTGCAGCATCTGCGGGTTGCCCCAGCTCTCCAGACGGCAATTTTTTTCTGCTCGCGCGCGCCCCCTAGCGGGCACGCACGGGCAGAAAAGACCCGTCCAATGCACACACCCGGTACCGGGTGTTTCACATATAGGCGATCAGCGGGTCCATAGCCCGCCGATCGCCTATATGTGCTCGTTCGCGGCACCATCCCAGTACTCTCTGCTTTATCAGCTTCTTTTGGGGTCCATAGGTGATATTAGGGGTCCTAGAGACCCCTAATATCTCCATAAAGAGGACCTGTCAGTGTGCCTTTGCTATTATATAGGGGGTTGTTATCCCCCTATATAATAGCAATAACAATAAGTGCAAAAAAAAAAATATAAATAAAAAAAAAGAAAAGTAACACATAAAAAAATAAAATAAAATAAAAGCCACATATAAAAAAAGGGGAAAAAACCCCCCCAAAATGTTTAACTCCCCCACCCCCACGTTTACGCGCCTATAAACGTAAATACGCGTCCGGTGCCCCAGCGCGCAAAAATTACAATTGCGCTACACATGTTACATATCGCCGCGAACGTCGCAGTGAGAGCAATCATTTTAGGGCCATCAATCACTGATAACACTAAACTGATGAGCGGTAACAGCTTTTAAAGCGTCGCCTAGGGCCAATTTTGGGTATTATCGTTTTTTGAGGTTTCGCGCGTGCACGCAATTTTAAGGCTTGACATGTTTAGTGTCTTTTTACCCGACGTGACCCCATCTTTTATATTTTACCAAAAAATTGGGTAATAATAAATGTTTTATCATTTAATATAGGGGAAACTGTTTTTTTTTTTTAAATTTCGGTAATTTTTCCTTAATATAGTAAAAAAAATAAAACCCCCAGTGGTGAATAAATACCACCAAAAGAAAGCTCTATCTGTCCCCAAAAAAGGGTATAACATTCATTTCAGTACAGCGCTGCATGACGGAATAAATGTCAGTTAAAGTACCGCAGCGCTGAATAATGAAAAATGGCCTGGATGGGAAGGGGGTTTAACACCGCGGATGTCAACTGGTTAAAGTTAATGCACAGACCCCTATGATGTTAACCCATTTTTTGCATTTTTTCCTCATCATCTAGCAGATAACAGTAACCAACAACATACAAAGAGAAAAAGGGGAAGTACATGATTATAAACAAAAATTACATCTCATATCATATCCAACATTAATGCTACATTTGTTCTCATGAAAATCACACAGGTACTGTATATACTTCAAGGTTGGACCGTCACAGGATTCAGTCACTTTCTATATATCACCTCAGAGCACCAGTAAATATAAAGCAAACGAAATGATAGAACCCAAAGAGAAAAGTAAACCTAGTTTCTATACAATAAGTAAATACATTAGTGAGATAAAAGAAAAGTAAGCTTTTTCTGCTGTTTTTGCACTACTGGCTTACCTCTTTCTGTGTTATGCCCCACATTTCACAAGCAGCTAGACTCCAGACTGTAGAACAGGCTGACGGGGATGAGGATGGGACATTAGGGAGGAGGTGTGGAGCTATGAGGGAGTAGTGAAAAAACAGTGTACTAGTTTCTGAGCACAATACTTCTGCATGTGTGACTACAATGGGAGATATTAGGAAGG